TTCAGTGTGCCTAGTTCCTGCCTTGTGAGACACGGCTTTGGCGTCCCAAGCTGCCACCTGTATTCCACTAGTAGCAAATCTGGGCCCATCACCAATTTTCCAGCTTCCACCAATGGATAAGACACCAGTGGGTGTAGATGTTTGTGTTTTATTTCAAAACAAAGGTTGAAATGAAACAAAATGAAGCTCTACCACATTGTAAGGAAGGTACATGATACCAAAGGTCAGAAAAGGAAGAATAAGCTAGATGGGTGGCATTGGCATAGAGATGGGAAGAGTATAAAACTAGAAGCCTCTGGATAAAGAAAAAGTGCACAAAATATGCTTGAGTATACATTAAACCTTTTTCCTGTGCTAGGTGATAAGTGCATACAAGAGAGCACTCACCACCCAAAAATTATGTATTGGGGGATAGGACACCAGTTAGGTGATGAGGACTTCTTTACTCAAGCTGGAAAATCTTATCACCCTCTAGACTAGAAGTTTTATTTTGTGGTGAGCCCTCTAATTGGAATAAGATGGAGCAGGAGCATCTGTTCACAGATGCCCTCTTTAGTGCTTGCTTACCTTCTCAGCTATATGGCAGCCACTGGCCAATTCATCCTTTTAAGTTCTGAGCTCTGCTCCAATGCTGGTGTTCCTAGGGGTGGCTCCCAAGCATGAGTTAATATCCTAGGCCAGGCTGTCGTTACACAGTCTCTCCCCCTGGCCTACCACAGCAAGAAATAATTGAAGAGTTCATACCATTCAAGGGTGCCCAGAAACAACCAAAAGAGTTTTGTACTTGATCATGAACTCTTTCTAGCTCCCAGCATCCTAACCCTCATGAAGGGAAGAACAGAGTAAAGGAAAGATGTAAACCAGGAGTTTATGTCCTTGTTCCTCCTACAAAAGGAAGAGAAAGCTGAGTCAATGTGAAGGATCTGCTAAAGCTTGGAAGGACTTAAAATGCAGGTAAGCACAAAAATGGAGTAGTTGAGTTAAGAGGGAATTGGAAGGAATCAGTAAGATAAGGCATGAGATTTAAGGCCTAGCCCTTACAGATTGGCTTTCATAACACCCACCCTTTTTCTCTGAAGTTAATCTATCAGAGCCTGGAGACAAGTTTAGACCTGTTTACCCATCCAAGTTTATTGCCCTTGAATAAGGTCAAAGTAGCCTCTCATGACTGCAGTGCTTCTGCTCTCCCAGAAGGTGGAGCATGTGTGCAAGAGCAGCAATGACATTTTTTCCAGCATCCCTACACCATTCCATTCCAGCAAGGCCTGTTAGAGCACCTTTGTGCCGCAAGGTACCAACCCACATAGAGGCCCCCAAAGGATTGACTGAAGCAGCAGGGAGTGAGTGTTGCAGGCACCAAGGGGGTGAACGAACTCACTGATCCCTACGTTAGAAAAGGAAGAGAAATGAAACTGGGCTGAAGTGGCCCAACCCAGGGATGGTCTGTAGCACAGTAAGGTCTAGTTTTCACTCTCAGCACATAAGTAGGCATGTCTTCCTACCATGCCTACTTATTACTGACAAGGGCTATTACTGTTTCAGAGCCATCAGGCTTCTAAGTGGGCAGCTCTTCAAATTCATTGGTTAAAAAAATAACATTTTTCCCCACCATTATTCCCACATCTTCCCTAACCTCTACCCACAGTCTCCAAAATATCTAATCAGCCTGGGGTCTGTGCATCATCTCAGCGTGAGAGGAGCAGTGATAACACTGGCATGAGGTGGGACAGGTAGGCTCTGAGCCTAGTAGAAGACAACATTTGAGGAAGGGACTTGAGTATGTTCTATTTGAAAAGAAAAATGCAAAGTACTAGAATATTTTAAGAACATTATGAGCATTGTCATGAGTGGGGATGAGATGTGGCATGTAGAGAAACTATTGTCTGGGCTCTGTGAAGACAGTTTAGAAACACTAGGCAATAGTGTTTAAGGAGCCCAGCCCTAGGCAGTGAGCTTGAAGGCTCCCCTATAACTCCCCTGCCACCCCTAGGCTATTTCATGAGAGAAAAAGTATCCCTCATTCCTCCCCTCTCCTTTATTCCAATCACTCACCCATGTTTGAACTGTTAGAAATGAACTAACAACTAGGAGAAAATATGAGTGTAACTCAAAAACATCAGAAAGAAATTCCACAGCGCCATTAACCACTACAAAAGTAACGTCAGGCTCCCGCCACTTCCCAGGCCCAACCAACCTGCCCAAACCGGAAACACTCAGCAGAATTCATCGATTCACACAAGAACACACAAAAGGTAATTTTTTTTATCCTCACCCGAGGACATTTTTCAATATTTTGTTCAGATAGAGCGGGAGGGAGAGAGAGAGAAACATTGATGTGAAAGGGACACATCAAGTGGCTGCCACCCGCACGACCCAACCAGGGCCGAGGACAAACTGCAACCGAGGTACGTGCCCTTAGCGGGAACCGAACCCGGGTCTCTCCAGACCGCAGGCTGACGCTCTAACCGCTGAGCCAAACCGGCCAGGGCAATTTCAGAATTTAAAACACAACAAAGTCACAGACATTTAAACATTTTTTTTTTAAATACAGAGAAAGTAGAATAAGGAGTTGTGGGAGGCAGAGGAGAGGCAGCAGTGACATCAACAGTGTCCGTGTGTGAAAGGTCCCCACTGCATGGACCTCACAGGAAGGCCCCTCCAAGCTACTATCAAATGAACAGGATTCTACATTTGTTTCCTCTTTTTCTTCAAGTCCACGGATGAGAAATCTACAGTGTACTTTACTTAAGTAGGAAATGAGCTACCTGCCCAGCTAAATCCTTCTAGAAGGTTATTGAGCTTGGGACTGTTTTATATTGGATGAGCCCTTCCTGAAGTTGGAAGCACTCATGAGAAATTAATGGTGGCAATTTTGTCCTTTATACTTTATGTCCTATAACCCCCCCCCCCTTTTAACCACAGGATGTACAAAAGGACAATCTAAGGATAGGGGATATTTGGACTCACAATTCTGGGATGGGTGGGAGGAGAAGGAAAGCTGGACCCAAGCTCGATGTGCAAATGATACAGCTTCTTTTCCCTACAACATCATACCCTTCCTCTCTTGACAGCCTAATGAACAACTCTCTCCATTCTCCATCTCTTGGCTTTCAGTCTGATTGTCTGTGGAAAGGCACATGGCCTTGAAGGACTGGGAGAAGGGTACAACATTTTTTTTTTTTTATCCTCACCCAAGGACATTTTTCCTTTTTTATTTTTGTTCAGATAGAGTGGGAGGGAGAGAGAGAGAGAAACATCGACGTGAGAGGGACACATCGAGTGGCTGCCACCCGTACGACCAACCAGGGCCGGGGACAAACTGCAACCGAGGTACGTGCCCTTAGCGGGAACCGAACCCGGCTCTCTCTGGTCTGCAGGCCGACGCTCTAACCACTGATCCAAGCAGGCCAGGGCTGGTGCATGATCTTATTTCTAGAAAATGAGCAAAGGCTTTCTCTCTCTGTCTCCATGTGCGTAGAGTGAGGACTTGTAGGAGGAGATGGAGTTGAAGAGAAAATATAGGCTTTTAAAAAGTACTCTTAAAAAATAAAATAAGCCCTGGTCAGTTTGGCTCAGTGGTTGAGCGTCAGCCTGCGGACCAGAGAGTTCAGGTTCAGTTCCCGCTAGGGGTACGTACCACACACACAAAAATAATAATAATAATAAAATAAAAGACGCCTGATATTGTAAATAATGAGATGGAATTTATTGCCCTTTTCTATCCTAGCTCCCTGTTGTCTTTCCACAAAAAGGAAAATGACTGATTCCCTGGCACAGCAGGGCAGAACAAGTGACCCTGGACAGTTACAGAGTCTGTCCTGCATCCTTCCACAGCCCACACTGAACAGCCCCCACCTGGGTCCCTCTGGATGTGTGTGCATAACAGCAAAGCCTTTCAAGGGTGTGCAGAGATGTCAAAAGTCAAACCCTGAGGAAACTTCAAGGACCCCATTTCTGTCACTTTCAACTAGTTGCATGAGTGTCAAAAGGCACTATGTGTCCAAGGTTGGCATGGGAATGGACCAAATCCTCTGATCAGGAGGCAGAGACAACAGTGTCTCCATCAAGGTTTCTCAACCTTGGCACCACTGACATTTTGAGCCAGATCATTGTTGTGTTGGGGCTCTCCTGTACACTGTAGAATGTTTAGCAGTGTCCCTGGTCTCTAGCCACGAGATGCCAGTAGCACACACACCCCACTCCCAGGCATGACAATCAAAATGTCTCCAGGGAATGCCGAATGGCCTCTAGGGGACATGCCATCTCCTTTGGAACCATGGGTCTAGAGGCGAAGTGACTAATCTTCCACAGTGGAAAGGAGCCTAAGTGGATTCAGAAGGTCACGACCGTAAAGGCTCCCAGCACAGCGAAGTGCAATGGGAAGAGAGGGCCCCCTGAGACCTGAGCAGATAAGAACCTCTAAGGAGCAGGAAAGCAGGTATTTTTGAAAAATTGTAGCTAGAGAAGACACTTCCTCAGAGGCTGTAGGCCTTGGCAGTGAGAATTAGAAGTCAGTTAAGTCTACCCTCCTGGAACATGCAAGAGAAGACTTGGTCTTCATCCAAATTTGTCTCAAGCATGACTTTCAAGAGCTGTGGGATTGTCTTTTTAATGAGCCTAGGTCACATCTCTGCTTTCTGAAGACAAAGTCTAGTATCTTCTCCTGGGATGTGGCAGGACAAAGGGAAGAAAACCACTTTCATTGCATGCTTAGTGTCTACCTTGTTCTTTGCCCATCCCCCAAAAAATTCCATATAAAAATGTCATTCAAAAGAAAAATTCACAAAATTAAAAACTATAAAAAGGGGAAATAAATATGCTCTGCTGTATGGAAAACAGAAGAAGGAAAATCTGAATGAGAGAAGGAAGGCATAAAACACGTGAAGAAAAGGCAGGATGTGTGAGTTAAGAGCTTTATAAAACAAAATTTTAAAACTCTATATTTTCTTACACACACCAAAAAAAAGTCCATAACTGAACTCAGTAAGAAGGCCCCACAGTAAGACTCCTTCAATGTTCTAGCACCACACCTTTCTTTTTACTTTTCTTTTAAGAGACGAAATAACAAAAAATCTTAAAAGCCTTCTCAAATAAGTTCAACACATCAAAAAGTTTTTTTCATACAGATGAGAAGAAGCTCCAGGCACCATGTCTCTTTGGGGTAGGGGAAGAGTATATTGTAGTTAGAAAACAAACAACCCATAAAACTTTCTTTGCAAAAAAAAGGTTTTTTTGATTTCCTTGACTGTACACAAGCAAAAAGTGACGGTTCCCCCAGGCTCCATCAGCAATGGAGGAACAGCAGAGGGAGAACAGGAGTGCAGAGATTCCTTTTTCAGGCCCAGGCCTGTGAAAAACGATGGCCAAGTGTTAGGTCTTAGCAGGGCCCACAGATGATCTGTATTCCTGGTTAGCCCTGAGTCTGGGAGCATCAGCATCTCCAAGAATTCATTTGTATTCAATAAAGATGGGGAGGGGAATCCTAAAGGAGGAATAAGCCAGAGAGGGTAGGGAGGGGGAATGACAAACATGAGACCCTGTCTGACTTCAGGCTGCTCAGCACACCCTGCCCCTAGGCATGTGATTCTTACCACTGTTACTTGTTGAACTGGAAAGAATAGACCCCATGGTCTGAGGGACCGTCCATAGTCACTTGATTTTGCTGGCTGCTGTTCTCCTGTAACCACAGCCAAAGCGAGAGAGTCACCTTGTGCACCCTACCGCATCTCCTATTAACGCAGCTTAAATAAAACCCACCGAGAGTTGAATGCCTTCCCCAAACCATCCACCCCTATACACCAGTGTTAAGGTGCACAGGCACTCAGCACACACGCTCCACACACACAGCGTTACCTCCCCAACATTTAGAGCAGACTATTCTCTTCCCAAGAAACACTAGTAAATATAAGTCAGCATCCTGTTATTTACTATCTGGCCAAATGTCAGGAAGGACCTCATCCAAGGACACAAACTAAGTCTTTCCTTCCTACATTCTTCACATACCAACCAGCTATTTGTGAATCAGCATTACTGTGAGAGGAAGATCTTGAATGGGAAAATCTGCCTCTGCTCATTTTCTTATCCTCTATCCAAAGAGATTATAATGCTCTCACCTCAACTGAAACATTGGACGAAGGCACAGGGGTGTACTGGGAGATGTAAGCTCCTTGCATAGCTGCAGCTGTTGGCATATACTAGGATGAAAAACATCAATGGGCTTAGAGCAGTGATTCTTGGCTACATTTAAAGCACCTGGGGAAAAAAAAAAAAGCCCTGGCCAGTTTGGCTCAGCGGTTGGAGCGTCCACCTGCAGTCCGGAGAGACCCGGGTTCGGTTCGCGCTAAGGGCATGTACCTCGGTTGCAGTTTGTCCCCGGCCCTGGTTGGTTGTGCGGGTGGCAGCCAGTCGATGTGTCCCTTTCACATCGATGTTTCCCTCTCTCTCCCTTCCTCTCTCTCCCTCCCACTCTATCTGTACAAAAAATGGAAAAATGTCCTCGGGTGAGGATAAAAAAAATAATAAAATAAAAATAAATAAAGCACCTGGGGAGCTTTATTTATTTTTTAATCTTCACCTGAGGATATATTTTTTTTCTATGTATTTTCAGACAGAGTGAGAGGGAGAGAGAAGGAGAGAGAGAGAGAAACATTGATGTGAGAGGGAATATTGACTGGTTGCCTCCCACACAACCCCAACCGGGGCCAGGGACGAACTGCAACTGAGGTACGTGCCCTTGACCGGAATTGAACCCATGACTCTTTGGTCCAAGGGTTGACACTCTAACCATCAAGCCAAATTGGCCAGGGCCTGGGGAGCTTTAGAAACTACTGATCCCTTGTTCCATCCCTAGAGAGTCTAATTTGTCTGATTTTCTCTCTCTCTCTCTCTTTTTTTTTTTTATCCTCACCTGGGGACATTTTTCCATTTTTTTGTTCAGATAGAGTGGGAGGGAGAGAGAGAGAGAAACATCGATGTGAAAGGGACACATCCAGTGGTTGCCACCTGCATGATCCAACCAGGGCAGGGAACAAACTGCAACCGAGGTGCGTGCCCTTAGCGGGAACCGAACCCAGCTCTCTCTGGATCGCAGGCTTATGCTCTAACCACTGAGCAAAACCGGCCAGGGCTGATTTTCTCTTTTTTAATTGATTTTAGAGACAGAGGGAGAGGAAGAGAAACATTGATGTGAGAGAGAAACATCGATCAGTTGCCCACCATATGCACCCCAACTGGGACCAAACCCACAATCTGCCCTGACCGGGAATCAAACTGGTGACCTTTTGGTGCACAGGACAATACTCAACCAACTGAGCCACACAGCCAGGGCTAATTGTCTAATTTTTTTTTTCCCCTTTATTGATATTTTAGAGAGAGAGTAAATGATAGGGAGAGAGAGACAGAAACATCGATGAGAGAAAACATGGACTGGCCGCCTCCTGCAGGCCTCCCACTGGGAATGAGGCCCACAACCTGGGCATGTGTCCTGACCTGGAATCTGACCAGCGACCTTCTTGATGCATGGGTCAACGCTCAACCACTGAGTCACACTGGCCTGATTAATTGTCTAATTTAATTGTGATTTAAAAAAAAAAATTTTTTTTTAATTGATTTTAGAGAGAAAGAAATGGAGAGGGAGAGATAGAAGTCCAATGCACTATCCATTGCACTACAGAGCTGGGAGAGAGAGAAGGAAACATCAATGAGAGAGAACATCTATTGGCTGGCTGCCTCCTGCATGCTCCCCCCCCCCTGGGAATGGGGCCCACAACCTGGGCATGTGCCCTGACTGGGAATCAAACCAGCGACCTCTTGGTGCATGGGTCAACGCTCAACCACTGAGCCACACCGGCTGGGCTAATTGTGCTTTTTAAAAGCACTTCAGGTGATTCTAAAGTACACTGGCTTAAAGAGACTTCTACATACATGACTTCCTTTTCTCCTTTTGCTTGTCTTCTGCGCTTTCTCAATGTACTGCCTTCTCTGCCTTTAAACCCTCCGGTGCAAATCAGAATGCAGCAGACCTACAAGAAACCTTATGAGCTTCATCCATTCTTCTTGTTATTATTTTGATAAGGATTTCTAGGAAATGTGAATGAACTAGATAAACTAGTATGTAGATAGAAACACCATTTGTTTAGTTTCATGAGTAGGAATCAGTTAAAAGGAGTGGGCTGGGGAGCAGAATGGCTATATTCCTGACTCATGAATTATATTATCTTTTTAGTTTATCTACTATTCTGAGTGTGCCCTCAATGATACTGAAGTTATTCTCAACATCATTCATAAGTCTTTATGCTGGCCCTGGCCGGTTTGGCTCAGCGGTTAGAGTGTCGGCCTGCAGACCAGAGACTCCTGGGTTCGGTTCCCGCTAGGGGCACATACAAAAAAAAAAAGTACTTATGCTGAAAATATTACACAGGTATTCCCTCCTCAGTAGGAGTTTGTAATTAGAAAGAGTCTGCTTTACCGTGCCCATGGTACTGAGGGAGAGGTGGCCCAGTTGCTGGGTAAGAGGTCCCATCATGGAGGCAGGCTGGAGAGAAAGGGGGTGATCCATCCCTGGTGTCAGAACTGAACCCTAGAGGCAGCAACAGAGGACAGGGTTAGCTGGCAGCATTCTGTGAGGCTGCCTAGGACAGTGATTCATGGCTACCAGGACCATTTAAAAACCCTGGGAAATGAGAGGTGAGCAGCAATCCAGTTATGCAACAGGTATCGACACTCTGCCCGACAGTCTGGGGGAATCCCTGCCTGGTAAAAACAAACTCACAAAATCTAAGGTCATACACCTGGGTTGCATAAGGGCCTGAACCAGAACTCACACCCACATCCCTTGTCATCAAATCCCAGTATGTTTCTTTACATCAAACGGCCTCTTTGGCAGTTGCCCACTCTGAACACTCACTGAAGGCGGTAAGAGGTATGGCTGGTGGTGCGTCCACGACGGGTTAGGTACTTGCAGAGGAGATGTCGGAGTTACTCTCTAATGCAAGCAAAATAAACACACAAAAATGTTAATTGCCTAGAAGCTATCGTTTTCCCAATGATCTGACAATGTTCAGACAAACCCAACAAAAGTTGGATTGCCCCATCAGAAAATAGAAACATTAATAGAGAACAGATTGACAGCTGTCAGAGGGGAAGAGGGAGGGGGCTGGGTGAAGAAATTAAGGAAAACAAACAAAAAACCCCTCATAGACACAGACAACAGTATGTTGATTACCAGAGGGAAAGGGAAGTGGGGGGAGGTAGGAGAGGCTAAAGGGGGTATAAATGGTGATGGAAGGACATTTGACTTGGGGTAGTGAACATACAATACAATATACAGATAACAACAGTCTTTGCGGAGAGTCGCAGTGGTTTTCTGCTCCCACAGTGCTTGGACTGAACGGTGCTCGACCCATCCCCCACAGCCACCTGATCCAGCCTTCTGCCACCTCCTCACAGCACCTCCGACAGCCCCAAGGCCACCCCCTACCCCTCCAGCGCCAGGCAGCCGCCTCTCCCTAGCCGCCCACCATGACGTCCACCGTGTCCACCTGGCAGGTACCCCAGAACTACCATCAGGATTCAGAAGTTGCTATCAACCGCCAGATCAACCTGGAGCTCTACGCTTCCTACGCCTACCTGTCCGTGTCTTACTACTTTGACCGTGATGAAGTGGCTTTGAAGAACTTTGCCAAATATTTTCTTCACCAATCTCATGAAGAGAGGGAACATGCTGAGAAACTGATGAAGCTTTGATAAAGCTCTGGTTCAGGATCATTGATGTTGATCCTGAACCAACGAGGTGGCCAAATCTTCCTTCAGGATATCAAGAAACCAGATCGTGACGACTGGGAGAATGGGCTGAATGCGATGGAGTGTGCATTACACTTGGAAAAAAAGTGTGAATCAGTCATCCTGGATTTGCACAAACTGGCCACTGACAAAAATGACTCTCACTTGTGTGACTTCCTTGAAACTCACTACCTGAATGAGCAGGTGAAATCCATCAAAGAACTGGGTGACCACTAACCAACTTGTGCAGACTGGGGGCCCCTGAAACTGGCAAGGCAGAGTGTTTCTGTGACAAGCACACCCTGGGAGACAGTTACAAGAGCTAAGCCTGAGGCTGGTTTCCCACAGCCACGGGGTGACTTCCCTGTCACCAAAGCAGGACGTGCATGTTGGAGTTACCTTTACCTCTTCTATAACTTGTACCAAATCACACTTATGTCTTTTATTTGTACCATTCCCTCAAATAAAGTAATTTGGTAACCAAAAAATATATATATATACAGATTATATATTATTGAACTGTACTCCTGAAACCTATATAATTTTATTAACCAATGTCACCCCAATAAATTCAATTAAAAAAATTATATATATATATATATATACACACACACACACACACACATTGCTTTGGCCCTGGCTGGGTAGCTCAGTTGGTCAGAGCACTGTCTCGATATGCCAAGGTTGCAGGTTTGATCTCCGGTCAGGGCACATACAATATCAATCACTGAATGCAAAAATAAATAAATATAAATATATATTTATATGTATATATAAAAGCTTTAAAAAAGGATAATAGAAACATTAAGAATAAACTTTTACTAAAATTAGCAACTCTGCCTGGCAGGTGTGGCTCAGTGGTTGAGATTCCACCCATGCACTAGGAGGTCACCGGTTAGATTCCCGGTCAGGACACATGCCCAGGCTGTGAGCCAAATCCCCAGTAGGGGGCGTGCAGGAGGCGGCCAGTGGATGTTCTCTCTCATCAATGTTTCTATCTCTCTCTCCCTTCCTCTCTTTTTAAAATCAATAAAGAAATAAAATAAAATTAGCAACTCTTACACCACAAGAAATAACCCAATTTAAAAACGAGCATCCCTGCCCTGGCCGGTTTGGCTCAGCGGTTAGAGCATCGGCCTGCGGTCCGGAGAGACCCGGGTTCGGTTCCCGCTAAGGGCACGTACCTCGGTTGCAGTTTGTCCCCGGCCCTGGTTGGTCGTGAGGGTGGCAGCCACTCGATGTGTTCCTTTCACATAGATGTTTCTCTCTCTCTCTCTCTCTGTTCCTCTCTCTCCCTCCCACTCTACCTGAACAAAAAATGGAAAAATGTCCTTGGGTGAGGGTAAAAAAATAAATAAATAAATAAATAAATAAAAATAAAAACAAGCATCCCAATTAAAACAACTATGAGGTATCACTTCACACCGGTGAGAATGGCCGCCATCAACAAATCATCAAACAACAAGTGTTGGTGAGGGTGTAGAGAAAAGGGGACTCTAGTACACTGCTGGTGGGAATGCAGACTAGTACAGCCACTATGGAAAACACTATGGTGTTACCTCAAAAAGTTAAAAATTGAACTGCCATTTGACCCAGTGATCCCAGTTCTAGGAATACAGCCTAAGAAGCCTGAAACACCAGTCAGAAAAAATATATGTACCCCTATGTTCATAGCAGCACTATTTACAATAGCTACGATCTGGAAACAACCCAAGTGTCCATCAGTAGACGAACGGATAAAAAAGCTGTGGTACATATACACAATGGAGTACTATGCAGCTGTAAGAAAGAAAGATCTCTTATCATTTGAGATGACATGGAGGGACCTGGAGAGTATTATCCTAAGCGAAACAAGCCAAGCAGAGAAAGACAAATATCACATGATCTCACTTATTTGTGGAATATAATGAATGAAACAAACTGATGAACAAAATTGACCCAGAGGCATAGAGGTAGGGTACAGACTGACAAACCCCAGATGAAGGGGGTTGGGGGAGAAGAGATAAACCACAGAACTTATATGTATATATGCACAATCAATGGACATAGACAACAAAGCTAGGGAAGGGGTAGGGAGGATGGGGAGGAAGGTGTCAATGGGGGAAAAATGGGAAACATCTGTAACAAAAACAAATTAATAAAAATAATTAATAAAAAAATAAAAATAAAAATAAAAATGGGCATCCCTGCCCGGCTGGTGTGGATCAGTGGATTGAGTGTCCGTCCCATGGGCTAAGAGGTCCCGATTCGATTCCCAGTCAGGGCACATGCCTGAATTTCAGGCTCAGTCCCCATTGGGGGGCATGCAGGAAACCACCCAATTGATGTTTCTCTCTCACATCGATGTTTCTATCTCTCCCTCTAAAAAAATCAATAAAAATATACTTAAAAATGGGCATTGTGCCCTGGTTGGTTTGGCTCTAGTTTGGCTCAGCAGTTAGAGCGTTGGCCCTTAGACCAAAGAGTCGTGGGTTCGATTCTGGTTAAGGGCACATACCTCAGTTGTGGTTCGGTTCAGACCCTGGCCCTGGCCAGGGTCATGAGGGAGGCAACCAATTGATGTGTCTCTCCAACATTAATGTCTCTCTCTCTCTTTTTCTCTCTCCTTCCCACTCTATCTGAAGATAAATGGGAAAATATCCTTGGGTGAGGATTTTTTAAAAAGGGCATTCTGGGGTCTGAAGCTCTGATGGCTTAACCTGTGTAGGGGTTCAGAATTAGTCACCCCAAGATATGCCTCTGTAGTATGCAGATTATTTTGAACTAAAGGCAACCAAGACCTTACAAGAAAAACTCCTCCCCATCTCTCCCTTTAACTACTTAGAAGAACTTGCATCAAGGGCCTTATCCATAATAAAAAATTATCAGAGATAACCTTTTTTGTCTACCTATTGGGCAGAGCAAACTACTAATTACAGAACATCTGCCCTTCTTCTCATCCTGCAATGACCCTCTGAAGCCCCCAAAATGCTTCACCCCATCCTAGCTCAGAATGCCTTATACACCTCATTTTAACTTCCATCCCTGAGTCTTTCGTGCACGTGAAGGTTTGTCATTGATGTTGACGCTGTACCAGGGAAATCAGAACATAGTCAATACTATTGTATTTTTTATTAAAAAACAAATTAAATAGCCCTGGCTGGTGTGACTTAGTGGTTAGAGGGTCAGCCCGCCTCTCTAAGGGTCTCAGGTTTGATTCCCGGTCAAGGGCATGTACCTGGGTTGCATGTTCCATCCCCGGCCCTGGTTGGGGCATGTGCAGGAGGCAACCAATCAATATGTCTCTCACATCCCTGTTTCTCTCTCTCTCTGCCTCCTTCTCCATTCCTCTTTCTCTAAAATCAATGAAAAAACATTAAAATCAATTTTTCTAAAAAAGGACAGAATAGCAAGTGTTATACACTATAAGTGGGAACAAAATGGTTCCGCAGCTTTGGAAAATAGTTTGGCAGCTCCTCAGAAAAGTAAATAGTTATTGGGTAACCCAGCAATTCCACGCCTAGGTATATACTCAAGAAAAATGAAATCATATGTCCACACAAACTTGTACACAAATGTTCATAGCAGCATTATTCATAATAGCCCATAGGTAGAAAGAACTTAAATGGCCATCAGCTGAAAAATGAATAACAAAATGAGGTATTATCCATACAATGGAATATGATTCAGTCATAAAAAGGAATGAAGTGCTGATATATAATACAACACAGATAAACCTTGAGAACATGCTAACTGAAAGAAGGCAGTCACAAGTATATTGTATGCTTATATTTATTATGAAATGTCTAGAATAGGCAAATGTATAGACAGAAAGTACATTAGTGATTGCCAGGGGCTGAGGTAAGGAAGAATAGGAAACTACTAATGGGTACAGAGTTTCTTGCTGAGGAGATGAAAATGTTCTAGAATTAGATAATGCTGATAGTTGTATAAATTTGTAAATATACTAAAAACTACTGATTTGTATACTTAAGAGGGTGAATTTTATGATATGTGAATTATATCTCAATTTTAAAATGAAAAAATAATTAGCAATGAGAACTTAGAAATACATTATAATAAACAAATAGGTTTTCTTTCATAAATGTAGGGATTGTTCAAGATCAGAAACACCTAAATCAAAATTGAAGAAAAAATCCATTGTATAATACTAGATGCTGAAAAGACATTTGATAAAATTCAATAGCCATTTACTTATTTATTTATTTTTCTTTTGCTAATCCTCACCCAAGATTATTTTTCCCATTGATTTTTAGAGAGAGTGGAAGGGAGGGAGGGAGGGGAGAGAGAGAGAGAGAAAGAGAGAGACATCAATGTGAAAGAGAAACATAGATTGGTTGCCTCCCACACATGTCCTGACTAAGCTTGGGATCGAACTTGCAACCCAGGTACATGCTCTTGACCAGGAATAGAACCTGTGACCCTTTGGTGTGAGGGCTGACGCTCTAACCACTGAATCAAACTGGCCAGGGCTCAATAGCTTTTTTCCTATATCTAGAAATGCTTATAAAAATTATAGAACACTTAGGAATCATATTTAACAAGAAAAGCATTAGACTTATATAAATAAAACTAAAATCTTATTCAAGGACATAAAAAAAGATTTAAAAACATGAAAAGAAATACCATATCTTGGATGAAAAGGTTAGTGCTTTTAAAACGTCAATTCTCTTTAATACGTATAGATTTAATGTAATTCCAATGAAAATCCTCACCAATTTTATTTTATTCTATTTCATTTTGGTTAATCCTCACCCGAGGATACTTTTCCATTGATATTTAGAGAGAGCGAAGGGGAGGGAGGGGAAGAGAGAGAGAGAAACATTGATGTGAGAGAGACATGTTGATTGGCTGCCTTCTGTATGACCCCAACCAGGGCCGGGGATAGAACCTGCAACTCAGGTACGTGCCATTGACCGGAATTGAACCCAAGACCCTTTGGTCTTCAGGCCAACACTCTAACCACTGAGCCAAACCAGCCAGGGCAAAATCCTCACAGGTTTTTAAAAATTAGATAAAATAACCATAAACTGTATACAGAAGAATACCAAAAAAAAGTATGAAAAAGAAAGAGTGGAGAATATTTTGTCTTATCAAATATCAGAACATATTATGAAAGCCACTGTGATCAAATCAATATATTATTGGAATAGGAACAGAAACAATAATCACTGGGAGAGACTAAAGAATACAAAAATAAATTCCAGTACTTATTATATGACAAAGGTGGTATTTCAATACAGTGGGAAAAGAATGAATTATTTAATAATCTGATACTAGGACAACTGGTTAACATTTTGAAAGAGAATATAATAGGACCCTTATTTTCTACCATATACAAAAAGAAATTCCTGATGATACACATTTACATATAAAACAATAAAATAAATCTTGGCGCCCTGGCTGGTTTGGCTCAGCGGTTAGAGCGTCGGCCTGTGGTCCAGAGAGACCCGGGTTCGGTTCCCGCTAAGGGCACGTACTTCGGTTGCAGTTTGTCCCCAGCCCTGGTTGGTCGTGCGGGTGGCAGCCACTCGATGTGTCCCTTTCACGTCGATGTTTCTCTCTCTCTCTCTCTCTGTTCCTCTCTCTTCCTCCCACTCAACCTGAACAAAAAATGGAAAAATATCCTTGGGTGAGGATAAAAAAAAAAAAAAAAAAATCTTGGAGACTCTATGTACAATACAGAGATTAGGAAGATCTTTTGAATTAAGGGAAGAAATTCATAAGCTATAAGTAAAAAAGCAGACACATTTAACTATATACAAATTTCAAACTTTGGTACAGCAAAAGCTGGCGATCCCAGTGTATGGTCCTTGGACCAGCAGCAGTGGCATCTGAGAACTTGTTAGAAGTACAGATTCTTCTGTACTCCTACCTGAGACTTACTAAATCAGAAAGTCTTGGTGTGGTGCCCAATAACCTAGAGTTAACAAGCTCTTTAAGTGATTCTGATGCACAGCTAAAGTTTAAGGACCACAAAGTCAATGGACAAAAATTAAATTTGAAAAAAAAAAACATTTGTAACAAAGATAACAGAGGATCAATACTTACAATATACAAGTAGTTTTTATAAGTTGAAGAAGAAAGGAACAATCAACCAAAAAGAAAAATGGGCTAAGCACATGAAGAGCAATCAGAGAACAGCAAATCAAAACAGGACAAACATTAACAAGGCTGACGTCAGGGAAGTGCAAATCAAAGTTATAATGCACGTTACACCCACAAGGTAGAAAACAATTTAAAAGAGCAATGTCACCTATGGCTGGAGGGAAACAGGTATACTCTCATACATTGCTTCTGAAAACATGAATTGACACAGCCTTTGTGAAAAGCAATCTGGTGACATTTATAAAACAAAATCCATAAATTCTAACTAGCAATCCTACTCCTCGGACTCCAGTCCCTAGAAATAGAAGTACTCATATGTATCTCTGGCCACTTTGCTCAGTGGTTAGAGCATTGGCTCACAGACCAAAGAGTCTCTGGTTCACTTTCAGTTATGGGCACATACCTCAGTTGTGGTTCGTCCCTGGCTCTGGTCGGGGTTTTGCGGGATGGGACCAGTCGATGTGTCCCTCTCACATTGATGTTTCTCTCTCTTCTTCTCTCTCCCTCCCTCCCACTCTATCTGAAGATAAATGGAAAAATATCCTCAGTTGAGGATTAAAAAATGAAGAAAAAAGTACTCGTATGCAGGGATAGAGGCACAAGAATGTTTACTGAAGTGTTATTTGTACCAGAAAAACACTGAAATGGAAGTGAAGGACCGTCACTGGATATAGATGAAGAATTCTGGTGTCTCTCCAGCATGAAATGTAATGCAACTATTAAAAAGGAAATAATTAGAACAGAGATCCCCACATTAGCTGTATCAGAATCATTCAGAGGGCTTCTTGAGAATCACTCAGATCGCTGTGACCCACCGCCAGTTTCTAATTCAGTAGATCTGGGGTGGAGTCCAAAAATGTGTGTTTTTATTTATTTATTTATTTATTTATTTATTTATTATCCTCACCCGAGGACATTTTTCCACTTTTTGTTCAGATAGAATGAGAGGGAGAAATAGAGAGAGAGAAATATCGACATGAAAGGGACACATCAAGTGGCTGCCACCTGCACGACCCAACCAGGGCCGGGGACAAACTGCAACCGAGGTATGTGCTCTTAGCGGGAACTGAACCCGGGTCTCTCTGGACCACAGGCCGATGCTCCAACCTCTGAGCCAAACCAACCAGGGCAAGAATTTGTGTTTTTAAAAATTCCCAGGTGATGCTGATACTGGTAGCCCAGGGACTACACTTTGAGAATCACTGGGTTAAGATATTATGTTAACCCCCCAAAGGGTGAAAGGTTAGTGAAAAGGAAAGGTTCTTTCCTTTCTGGTCTAGGCCCAGGTGGCTACCATCGAAATGGGCAAGTTTATGAAACCCGGGAAGGTGGTGCTGGTCCTGGCCAGACACTACTCTGGACGCAAAGTGGTCATCGTCAAGAACATTGATGATGGCACCTCAGACCGCCCCTACAGCCATGCTCTGGTGGCTGGAATTTACCGCTATCCCTGCAAAGTGACAGCTGCCATGGACAAGAAGAAAATTGCCAAGAGGTCAAAGATCAAGTCTTTTGTGAAAAGTTATAACTACAATCACCTCATGCCTACAAGGTACTCTGTGGATATTCCCTTGGACAAAACTGTCGTCAACAAGACCCTGCTCTGAAACTCAAGGCCAGACGGGAGGCCAAGGTCAAGTTCGAAGAAAGGTACAAGACTGGCAAGAACAAATGGTTCTTCCAGAAGCTGCACTTTTAGTTCTTTTTTGTTTCAATCATTAAAAAAAAAAAAAAAAAGATATTATGTTAAGTGAGAAAGGTGAAACATGGAAAATGTATTTAATATAGTCAATTTCTTTGTAAAATAAATGACTTCCAAAAATCATATACATATGTATATATGCACAAATATGGAAAATAGTAGGAAATTGACATGGATTTACTTGTGAGGTAGTAGACAGAGTAAGAGAATGATCCTACACCAGTCTATATATATAATGTGATCACACGTTATGTTTTCATGTAAAATTATTTGTGTGTAATATGTATACAGGAAAAACAAAAAAACAACAAATAGTTTCCATCCTTATATTCCTTTACCTAAAACACAATGATAGGGAAAACCACCACATCCTTTTTTGGGCATGAACATACCTGATATGAAGACACAGGAGATGGAAGATATGGGGAGAGTGCAGACTGAGCAAGCATCCTGCTGGGGGTGATGTTATATGGAGCTGGGTAAAACCTGCACACGAAGGAGTCTCATCAGTATAAGTCACAGGAAATCAGAAAGGGTCCTCAGTGATAGACACTTCCCACTAGGTGCTATTCAAAAATCAAGATAAAACAACTTGGACACAGGCTATCATTTTCAGTTGGCCTGATTATATAAAACACCCTTACCCATTCTGAAGAGCTGTAGCGGGGTCATAGGTCAAGGCCATACCACCCTATAGAGAAAGAACACAGCATTCATATTGTAAACCTTTGGATAAGAACAGGAGCAAGCCCAGAATGTCAAGGATGTATTTAGTTGAACTGATTAAAGTGCAGTCTGGACAAGCTGTTCCAGAATTCTTCTGGTTGTGCAGGCTGCAAAATCCCACTCAAGACCCACACTGAAGAGCATGTCACGTAGCCAGCTTCTCTCAGTTACAAATTGTAGCTCTCAAGCTTGCTACCTAAGCTCACACAAATCAGGCCATGGTAACTTCCGTTCCATTTTAATATCCTTAGTACTCCTGTCTCCTCAGAGGTCCTCTTACCATGTCTCCATTCCTTGGCCAGGCCCGTCCATTTTGCACAAATTTTCCTTGGTTCTGTCGTCTCTTTGGCCCACCATCAGCAAATTTGCAAAGCAACGGATCAGATGGGACTACCAAGTGAGAAAGCAGACAGGTAGCTGAGTTCCACCTCACTTAGCCCACCCACACTCATGCAAAACTTTTCCAGAATCTTCACTGGAAGTAAGCACCTGTGTCCCTCACAGACTGATTCCCAGATGCCTCACCTGGTACTCCAGGGGGTGTCTTAATATATTTCCCGTTAAAGTGGGTGATGATGGCTTCACACTTCTCTGTGGACTCCATCCTGAGGAGCACAAGAGGGGTTAGGCTCTCTAGCTTCTTCAGGATCTATGCTCTCCCTACATTAAAAAAGAATGCCCTGCCCTTGCTGGTTTGGCTCAGCAGTTAGAGCAGCGGCCCATGGACCAGAGTTGCAGGTTCGATTTCGGCCAAGGGCATGTACCTCAGTTGTGCTTCATCTCCGGCCCTGGTCGGGATTATATAGGGGGCAACCAGTCAATGTGTCCCTCTCACATCGATGTTTCTCTCTCTCCTACTCTATCTGAAGTTAAATAGAAAAAATATCCTCAGGTGAGGATATAAAAAAAAGAATGCCCTAAGTTTGCAGCCCCACAAATGCTTGAAAAGTTGTGACCATAGAAACATAGAGTTTCCTCCACACAAATTCAAGATATCAAGAAGAGGCAACCCAAGCTTCTAATGCAGGTTCTCTCAACCAGTTCCTGTAGGGTCCTGAAAGGAATAATGGAGATCTTTAAGCTATGAATGCGTATTCCAAAGAAGGTACTGATGGATCCGCCTACTATTGTGTCTGGTTCATAAAAAAAGAATACAATAAATTGAGGCTGTTACTATTACTTTTTACTACAAAACTCCTCATGGAAATTGTTCCCTCACTCTGATAAAACTACACAAGATAAGAATTTGCCAATATTTATTTTTTGCTTCTGGTTAATTACCAAGGTCGAATTAGCTATTGATAACATCATTAAAATTTCATAAGTCTGTAGGAGGAAACAGTAATAAGACAGGATTAGGGTCCATAGTAATAGATAAAACAATGTTGGGAACTACTGAGTTAAAATATCTGCTGGGGAAAGAGGACTGAGTAAGGAATCAGAAAATTTTGACTCCAGCTCTTGTTTGCCTCCCAAAAAACTCTGTGAGTTAGGACACGCACAAAAACCCTTTGGACCCATTCCTCATTTCCACTTTTGAGAAGTGATTTATTATCCTACTATACAAGATTGTATAGATCAAATAAGATAATCTATATAAGTGTGTTCTAAAAAGTATAAGGGTCCATATAACACAAGGTACAATATCTTGCCCTCTTTCCATTTTTAAAAGAATCCTCACCCGAGGATATTTTTATTTTCATTTATCTTTATTATTATTATTATTATTATTATTTTTATCCTCACCCGAGGACACTTTTTGATATTTTGTTCAGATAGAGTGGGAGGGAGAAAGAGAGAGAGAAACATCGACGTGAAAGGGACACATCGAGTGGTTGCCATCCACACGACCCAACCAGGGCCGGGGACAAACTGCAACCGAGGTACATGCCCTTAATGGGAACCGAACGCAGGTTTCTCTGGACCGCAGGCCGACACTCTAACCGCTGAGCCAAACCGGCCAGGGCTATTTTCATTTATCTTTAGAGTGGGAGGGAGAGAGGAGGGAGAGAGAGAGGAAAGAGAGAGAAAGAAACATTGATGCGAGAGAGAGACATCGACTGGTTGCCTCTTGCACGACCCTGACCAGGCTGGGCACTGAACGGCAACTGAGGTATGTGCCTTTGATCAGAATCGAACCCATGGCTCTTTGGTCCGCAGGCCAATGCTGCAACCGCTGAGCCAAACCAGCCAGGGCCCTTTCCATTTTTAAAGTAAGTTTCACTATATTTTCTATGCCAATAGCCACTAAAAATATAAATCATTACTATAAAAGAAGGCCTCAAATGGAACATTGCAGAGAAAACTCTTAGGAATCCCAGAGCAGAAGTCTTTAGTTGGGTTGCTCCTATTCCTTAGTCTTTCCAAAAGGGTGAGCAGACAGAGCATTTCAAGAGAATCACTTTCAGAACCTCAACTTCCTCATGAACTCTTTCCTAAAACTGATCTGCCTGAGGAATCAGTCATGATTACTAACGATCAAAGCTCAAGTCCCCTCTCACAGTCACTCCTCTCCATTCACTGCATGACACTCATTGCAAAACTCAGCACGAGGCAGTGATGACTGGGTTACAAATCTTTTTGTCCTTAGTTAGATGCTCCCAATTCTTCCAACATAAGCTGGAGGACTCAGCAAGTTGCCAATTGACACACATAAAAAAATCAATTTTGATAATAGATTACCCTGGTTCTTGGTAAATGATTCAAAAGGAATTCAAAGAATTCCTATTTTAACAAAACTGTTTCCATTCCCATTTACTTATTTATGTTTACAAAGTTTCTTAGCATGAAAATAAAACATAGGAACAGAACTGATATTAAACCCTGTCTTGCCCAGCGGGTGTGCCTCAGTGGTTGAGCATCGACGTGCACCGAGAAGCCGAAGGTTTGATTCCCAGTCAGGACACATGCCCAGGTTGTGGGCCCGATCCCCAGCGGGGGACATGCAGGAGGTACCAGTTGATGTTCTCTCTCACTGATCAATAATGAAAAAATATTTAAACAATAAAAAATAAAATAAAATCAATAAAAAGAAAAATATTATTAAAAAAAAAAAAACCTGTCTGTTACAGCAAAAACAATATTTACTGATGGCTACATGACCTAATTAGAAAAATATAAACACAACTTACTCATGTCATAGGAGAAGCATTCCCAATAAAATTTACTTTCTTTCTTTTAAGAATCAGATAGGAGTAATCGGGGTGTTGCAGGTCCTGATTACGCAGAGACGTTAATGACAGATCAAACGATCTCCAATCATCATGTTCCAATCTGCCCTCCAAAAGGAGGAACAGGTAAGGATTATCCTACCTGATGATAAAATTTACTTTCTATAAAATAATTTTATATCAACACTTATCTTTTTTTTTTTTTTTAATCCTCACCTGAGGATATTTTTCCATTGATTTTTAGATAGAATGGGAAGGACCGAAGGAGGAAGGGAGAGAGAGAAATTGATGTGAGAGAGACACATCAGTTGGTTGCCTCCTGCACGACCCCAACTGGGGCCAGGGATTAAACATGCAACCTAGGCATGTGCTCTTGACTGGGAATCAAACCCCTGACCCTTTGGTTCATGGGCTGACGCTCTAACCGCGGAGCCAGACTGGCCAGGGCTATATCAACATTTAACTATATTTATGTTGTTTGGAGCAATTGCAAACTAAATATTAGAAAGAGAATTTTCTTATGGGTTGATACACATATAGCCTCAGGGCCACTGGAAAAAAATTAATTTATATACATATTTTTATTGCAGAGAAGTATGACAAAATGATCCATAAAAAGGCTTTCAACTATAAAAATGTTTTACCTAGAATACAATACAAATGGAATAAAAATACAAGATCAAGAAAAAAAAAGGAACACTTTAAGAAAGATGTAAGAGTTATAACTCTTAAAAAAGAAATGCCCTATTTTTCAAAATGGATGATTTTGTGTATCAAATTGCTATGACATTTAGATCTCATTTGGATACACTGAAAAATGATATGACAGTTTGATTTAAAATATCAATGTTTATAATTTGCTGGAAATCATACTTAACAAGAACCTAAATGTATCAAGAAAGTTTGTAGTTATTTTTTTTCTTTATTGATTTTAGAGAGAGAAGAAGGGAGAGGGAGAGAGAGATAGAAACATCGATGAGAAAGAACATCAACTGGCCACCTCCTGCATGCCCCCCACTGGGGATTTGGCCCACAACCTGGGCATGTTCCCTGACCAGGAATCGAACCGGCAACCTCTTGGTGCATGGGTTGATGCTCAACCACTGAGCCACACCAGCCGGGCGAAAATTTGTAGTTATTAATGTAGAAATGTGCAAGAGATTTCATAGTTTTCCAAGTCTTTATTATTATCCTCACCCAAGGACATTTTTTTTTTTTTTGCATTTATCTTCAGATAGAGCGGGAGGGAGAGAGGGGGGAAGAGAGAGAAAGAGAAACATTGATGTGAGAGAGACACATTGACTGGTTGCCACCCATACGACCCCAACCAGGGCCGGGGACAAACTGCAACCGAGGTACATATCCTTAGTGGGAACCGAACCCGGGACTCTCTGGTCCGCGGGATGATGCTCTAACCACTGAGCAAAATTGGCCAGAGCAGTTTTCCAAGTCTTTAAAGTTCCCAACTTTAAAGGACACCCTGGGTCATTATGATGTACTAGCAGAAGCACAGCAAGGAATATTTTAATTTTCTGAAGAAAATACAGCAACATATGTTGGATATTGTGTGGACAACTAACTCTAAATAGTTCACCATTTCAACAACAGATCACCCTACTATCCTTTTGATAATGTATTTTTGCAAAGCTGGTTTTTCAACAGTTGCTATGACAAAAGCAACTAATAAGAAAACCAATGCATAAAAGAAATGAGGATGTAGTGTCCAATCTGATTCCAAGATTTGACAAGTTATTCAGTCTCCAACAGGTACACATCCCATTAGTAAGTATAGTTATTTAAGGATGAAATAAAAATATTTTCTCTTTCATTGTTTTTTCAAATAGCTAAGATTGATTGCTATGAACACGTTTTGAGTTGTTTACACCATTTAATTACTTAATAAATTGAACTGTTAAGTACTTTTATTTTATCTTGTGAGAAAAAAATTAATAAGACTTCAGTGCCATGATCTGAAACAGATTGGGAACCTCTACTTTCAGAGAGTACTGGAGCAAAAACGTTTGATGTCTACAAACCTAGGAACTCCATTAGTTATACTCGGGCTTGCCAGCAGGTGGTACTACCAACAGTGAGTTGGCTAGAGAAGCCCTATTCCTAGTTCCCATTGTCTGTAACACTCCAGAGTAAGGAAGGGTTCTTAGTCCAGGCAAAAAGGGGCCTTAGTCCAGTAGTTTTCAAACTTAAAAACGAAACAAAACAGAATTTCCTTTCAAACAAAATCTTAAGATAAATAAAAGCAGAACCATTTTTTAAGTGGGACAGGGGAAGCTGATGCCCTACAATAATGATACCTAAGCCCAGAAAAGGGGACCCTGGCCCTGGCTGGTTTGGCTCAGCGGTTAGAGCATCGGCCTGCGGTCCAGAGAGACCCGGGTTCGGTTCCCACTAAGGGTGTGTACCTCGGTTGCAGTTTGTCCCCGGCCCTGGTTGGTCATGCGGGTGGCAGCCACTCGATGTCTTCCTTTCACGTCTATGTTTCTCTCTCTCTCTCTCTTTTTCTCTCTCCCTCCCACTCTGTCTGAACAAAAAATGGAAAAATGTCCTTGGGTGAGGATAAAATATATATATATATATATATATATATATATATATAGAGAGAGAGAGAGAGAGAGAGAGAGAGAGAGAGAGAGAGAGAAAGAAAGAAAAGGGCACCCTGGAGAGCTCTGAAGCCTTGCGGAACACCTTAAAAAAATCACTCATCTAAATCAGTCTCCGCAGAGTCAACCAAGGCTCACAGAGGTCTGATATCACACGGGCAGTTAGTGGCAGAGTTGGTTCTAGAATCTAAGTCTCTCAACAGATCTGAAAAGGAAGATCAAATCTTCCACTTCATCCTAACTGATCTTGAAGAAGTATTAGGGTTCTGCTTCTACCACCCACTCTTCTGACACCTTGGAAAAATCACTTCATAATGGTTTCCTTATATATAAAGTGGAGAAATTAATATTTCATAGGGCTGTAGTAATGATTAAATGAGACAATAAAAAGAGAAACTACTCAGTAAACTATAAGAAGACACGAAATTATTTTATTCTGGTTGAGTCTGGGTCCAAAGAACAAAGGCTAGAGGAGCAGGAAGTAGTGGGGAAAGGATAAAGATTTGGGGTCAAATGGATTTGTGAGTATTGTGACCTATACTTAAACTGATGAACTGTCAAGCACTTTTGGCCAATAGTTTGGTCCCTTGTGGTTGGGGGACAGTTTTTTTTGTGTGTTTTTTCTAAACTTCTAAGTGACATTCATTATTCATTATTAACCTCATCATTTCCCATTCTTGGCATCTCTCACCTTGCAAAGCCAACCCCTCTGCTGGTGCCACTGGTGTCTCGAAGGATTCGAGTGGAGATAACTTGGCCAAAGGGCTTCAGCATTCCCTCCAGTTCTTGCTCATCCATTGACAGTGGCAGGTTTGATATGTATAAATTTGTGGGGTCCTGCTCCTGTTGCTATGGAAATAAAAGAGAGAAAATGAAGCTCACATCTCTTATCCCTCTCTGACCATCAGCCCTCGTCCACAAAATGATATCTTAGAAAAGAGATGGTGGGAAGGGTTCCCCATAAACAGAGAATCTTAACTATTTGCAACAAACACCTAGTTCCACTACAATGGATTGTATATTGAGTACAGGCAGGGGGTGAAGAAGCAGATTTAATATTACTAGTACTATACAAGCTCATATTACAAGTCATTGATCAAGTTTTGGCTGTCTCTTTAAAAACTAGACAGAGCAGCACTTCCCCCTTCCCCCAGCAGCCTGTTCCAGAGGCTGGATTCTCTTGGACTGCCTTGTTCCCTGGCTGGATTGTTTTGAGTAACCCTCCCTCCCCCCCCTTCCGGCCACAGCAGACTTCTCTGAGTAGGAATGCCTGTTCAATCCCTGATGGAGGGAAAGCAGGAAGAGGGGAGAGAGGGGAGAAGGGAAAAGGCAAGGCAATGTGCTGGGGGCTGCACTGAGGGCCACATGTATAGCTCACTGGGTCACCAGGGAGCCCTGAAAGCTCCAGTCTGATAGGAACTCGGAAGACTCCTACACTCCACTGCCAGGCTTTTCTACAGAAAAAGAGATGAGAGGGCCCTTCCAGTGGGCAGAGCATATGCAATGGCTATAACTTCCCATAGCTGTATTTTAAAGAACTTAAGCAGTTACTCTACCCTAGACTGGTTCACCAGTAACCTGAATCCCTCTCTGCCTTTCCCTTCAGGGCTTCCATTTCTCTAACCATTATAGAAAAAGGTGTCTGGCAGACCTGCCTCATTAGCTCTACACAGTCCTCACAATGACTTCAGAAAGGCAAGAGGACAATCCCACTAAGAGAACAAGGAGAGAAAAGCCTCCAGATTCCTAGTAGTCCAGACGAAAATGAAAGCTCGAGACAGATCTGGGTAGGAGGGAGTATCCTTCCCTGCTGTGGTATCCCTCTCCTCACGCCCCAGCACATAACTACTCCCATCCCCAGGGAACAGTGTTGGGAGGTGGAGAGCATTGTTTTGAACTTCTGAGATGCACACTGGCTTCTTCAGAGAATGTTGCAAAACTACCATAAGCTGTCTGGTAGGGAAGTGAGGGGCCACCATTGGGATAGGGATGGGGAGACAGCAGGAGGAAGGGGAAAAGCCTCTCGACCCTCTTGCCTGTTTATAATACTTGATGAGAGGAAAAGAGCTGACAGAGCTACCAGCTTCCTCTAGCAGCCGAGGGGTCTGGATGGGTCCCCAGCCCAGACTGTCTTTGGCCAGACAGAGTGAAAAGCACTGCAGACAGCCTTTGCCCAACAACTACATGGTTCTTAAACCCTCTGGAAACCTCAGAACTGCACCTGTGTTGCTAACCACAGACCCTCAGAGGAAAAGACATGGTGTAGTACCCTTACCTTTGCCATCTGTGCCTGTACACCACTGGCTTTCAGTGCTGTTACAGCCTTCTGTGCGGCTGAAGGACTGTCAAAGTCCACAAAGCCATAGCCTGGAACAGGGAAACAGCCATCACTGGGAGGTGGGGGTATAGGGAGGTAGGAGGCCCAGGCTTTTCAGGAGACAGAGGAAGAATTGTGATCCATGTAATAGAAGTGGTAGGGAGAAAGAGAAATTAAGAAGTTTCAGGTGGTTATCCATGTGCTTCTCAAACCCTGTGAGATTTGGTCTACTTAAAGCTAAGATTGCCAAGGGCAATAAGGTTTTTGTGATGTCTTTGCCTTTCTTCCTACCTCTTAAAAAAAAAAAAAATCTGAGGTTTCAGGAACTAGGCTCTTTAAATACATTATAGCACCTCCCCACTTCTATAAAAAAAACAAGCAAAAAAAACCCTTCCTCTTTTCTAGCCACACCCAAGAAATGCTACACATGTAGGGAATACAGCCTCTTCATTGCAGATAACCAGCCACCTGCTGGAAGAAGTCCTTCCCCACTCCAACTTACATATCTCTCCCCTCCTTCAACTCTTACATCTCCACCTAAAACTGCACAAGACCCCAACAAAACTATTAATCCTCACAAAATAATACCTACCAAGACATCTACCCCACCACTACCAAAAAGACTTTACAATGCTTTGCTAAGGAGAAATAATCTTACCTACCCATATCTACTATCCAATCCAGGGAAACATGAGGTCCAAAGTAAGGCTAAGGGACTCCAATACTCTTTGTGTAGATTTCTAGCCTTAGGCCCTCAAAATAGCATTTGCAGCTCTAGATATCTGGTCACCAAAGAATTTAAATATCTGCTAGTCTTAAAATATTTTATTGATTTTAAAGTACTTAAAAAAATTTTTTTTTTCTTTATTGCTTTTAGAGAGAGAGGAAGGGAGAGGGAGAAATAGAAACATCAATGAGAGAGAACATCAACTGGCCACCTCCTGTATGTCCCCCACAGGGGATTGGGCCCACAACCTGGGCATGTGCCCTGACCAGGAATCAAACCAGGTGACCTCTGCCCTGGCCGGTTTGGCTCAGCGGTCATAGCGTTGGCCTGCAGTCCACAGAGACCCAGGTTCGGTTCCCGCTAAGGGCACATACCTCGGTTGCAGTTTGTCCCCAGCCCAGGTTGGTTGTGAGAGTGGCAACCACTCGATATGTCCCTTTTATGTCGATGTTTCTCTCTCTCTCTCTCTCTCTCTCTCTCTCTCTCTCTCTCTCTCTCTCTTCCTCTCTCTCCCTCCCACTCTATCTGAGCAAAAAAAATGGAATAATGTCCTCGGGTGAGGATAAAAAAAAATAATAATAATAAATAAATAAAAACAAGTGACCTCTTGGTACATGGGTCAACACTCAACCACTGAGCTACACCAGCCAGGCTATTTACTGATTTTAATAGAGAGAGAAATGGGGGTGGGAAGAGAAACATCGATTTGTTGTTGTTCCTCTTATTTATTCATTCATTGGTTGACTCTTGCATTTGCCCTGATCAGGAATCGAACCCACAACCCTGGCATATTGGGATGATGCTCTAACCAATTGAGCTACCTGGCTAGGGCTTTGCTAGTCTTTTAAGCCTGAAAATCTCTGATATTTCTCTTTGGCCTTGGGTACTAGCAGTAAAGGGCAGAGACAAGGGATGGACTCACTCACAGCTGCCCTCTATCACCAAGGACAGCTGTTTTCTCACCTTTGCATTTGTTTGTGGTCTTGTCCAATATGGCCTTAGTGGAGACAATCTTGCCATATCTAAGGGAGAAGAAAATGCAAAGTGGTAATCCGGGGGCAGGGATTTAGAAAAGGACAGAGAATGAGACAGCTGGATGAATCCATATCCTTTCTCCACTCCCATTAGGACAACTAACTGATCCTACCCAAACCATAATAAAAACTAAGAAGAGATGAATTTAAAATGTCACGCTTATCATATAAACCGAATTCCCAAAGATGCCTACAAGAAATAAGATAACTGTAGTCCAACACATTTCTTTATTCTTCTCCAACTAAGACTCAGACACTAGTTGGAAAGAGACTACTGTCTTTTTGGGAAAGAAACATGACAACATACGCAAAGCAGAATGTGTAAGGGCAGAGCTCAGGCTAGAATTTTTTGAGGACTAAAATAATCCTTGATATTACTTACATTCTTTTGGACAAACACCATTCCTCCTATAGACACTTGACATATGAAAACATAGACATATGAAAAACCTATAGACATTTCTCTTCTCTGACCCTATTCCCTATCCCTCTACTGGCCCCCTGATTGAAGGTCAACCTGAACCAAATTTCTTTTGTTCAAATCCTGGTTCTGCCACTTTGTAGCTATGTGGACAAGTCATTTAACCTTTCTGTGCTTCAGTCTCACTATCTGTAAAATAGAAATAGGACTGTTGGGAATATGAAATGAGTTCAACACTTAAAAATTCTTAACTGCTGTCATTGTTATTATATTCAAGTGACCTCAACTTTAACCTACTGCAAATGGCTCTCCCTCCTGCTTTACTGTATTCTAAGACTTCTATTTCTCATCATCAAAATTTGAGTGTGTTAGAAGGGGAGTGGGCCCTGGCCAGTTTGGCTCAGCGGTTAAAGCGTCAGCCTGCGGTCCAGAGAGACCCGGGTTCAGTTCCCGCTAAGGGCATGTACTTCGGTTGCAGTTTGTCCCCGGCCTTGGTTGGTCGTGCGGGTTGCAGCCACTCGATGTGTCCCTTCACATCGATGTTTCTCTCTCTCCCTCCCTTCCTCTCTCTCCCTCCCACTCTATCTGTACAAAAAATGGAAAAATGTCCTCGGGTGAGGATAAAAAAAAAAAAAAAAAGAAGGGGAGTGGGCACAAGACCAGGTACAACAGCAGTGTTAAGAAAATTATCCAAAACTTGACGAGAATGCAAAATGAGAATTGCATAACCTTTTGATGTCATTCTGAAATACTATCTAAAAGGCCCATTAGAGGTATGTTTTATTACCTAGTGAGTTGTTTGTTTCACTGTTGACTAGGGCCCAGACTTTGTGAAGATACATATTTTCTTGTAGATTTTTATCCAGTAGAAATGCAAATAATTTCTGTTCAGTAGAAAGATAATCCCAAAACTTATTATTTTATTGTTCTTTAGGATAGGAACCAGTTTTGTATGTAACCTAACAATCTTATTCCAACATTATTTTTTCAGTACCTACACATACTCAATCCCTCAAATGCTCTTTGAACTCGTTTTACCATTCTGATGGTTCCCTCATTAATAAGTAGAATAAATCTTTGGCATGTGTTCACCTGTATTTGTATGATAGTCATATTTCCCAACGTTCTGAAAATCATACTTTGGCAGCAGAATCATGTGGAGTTCCTCAAACTTGAGCAGTGGAGTATTACAAGTCAAAGATTATATTAGAAGTGTTCCACTAGAAAAAAGTCTTTACATTCCACTCCAGGACAGTGAAAATATTAAAGAGACAGAACAGACATCACTAACAAAGTTAGAAGTACAAGATTTAACTAAAAACATTTAACAAGGACTAAACTTAAGACCAATACCCCCAAAGAAGCATTTTTTTCTTACTACTCTTCTCATCCCTAAAGATCATAGGATGGCCCTGGCTGGTTTGGCTCAGCGGTAGAGTGTTGGACCGCAGACCAATGAGTCACGGGTTCAATTCCAGCCAAGGGCACAAACCCCGGTTGTGGTTCGTCCCCGGCCCTGGTCCGGGTCATGCAGGAGGCAACCAGTCAAGTGTCCCTCTCTCCCTTCCTCTCCCTCCCACTCTGTCTGAAGATAAACAGAAAAACATCCTAGGGTGAGGATTAAGAAAAAAAGATCGTAGGATGATTGATGTATTTGTTTCACTCCTTGGTGACCTCTCACTGACTTTTTAGTGGGGCTTCTGTGACCCAGTAGATTAGAAAGAATAAGCTAAGCAATGCCCTGGAGGCTGGGAAAAGAACACATTAAAATGGGAGGCGGGGGGGAATGTGCTGATCCTAGCTCTTCAGGGCTACATACTTGGATTCTTTCCCAAATTTAGGCAAAGGAAGAGCTGCATGAGACTAGGCCAGAGGACACACAAGCTGCTATCCCTATCAAGGCCCCAGGGTGGAGCTTGCTGTGGTCTGAGCAGCCTGAGACTTTGAGCTCAGAATTTCCATGGCAGCTGGCAACAGCTGAGTTGCTCGCTGCTGCTGCTTCTTCCTCAGAAGAAAGAGCCCCTCCAAGAGAACTTCGAGTTCCAGTCCCAGACTCCACAACTCTCCTTCCCACTCACCAGGACTTAGGATCTAGCACTTTTACTTCCCCTACAAATCAGAGAGAGACAACTGGGACAAAGGCAGGAAGTCCTTCTACGCACAGGAAACTCCCTTCCTAGAAAGGTTTAACTCCCAGCTCAAAGTATCCATGAGGGTTCTACTCGCCTGCTCTTCTCAGCCTCCCTTTCATCATAACTGATCTAGCACCTATGCTTTCCCTGCCTCATTCCTACTTTCTCATAGGCTCCTTTTGGACTCCTTACTTCCATCCTACATGCTGACCCTGACTTTTTTCATTCCTTCAGACACAGCAGAAGGTAAGGCAACCGTTGGAAAGGGCAAAATTAATGTCTAAAAGTACAGTGCAATAGCCCAGCTGGCATGGCCCAGTGGATTGAGTGTCCTCTCATTGACTTGGAGGTAACACTTCGATTCCCAGTCAGGACACTTGCCCGGGTTGCAGGCTCGATCCCCAGTAGGGGGCATGCAGGAGGCAGCCGATCCATGTTTCTTTCTCATATCGATGTTCCTCTCTTTCCCTTACTCATTCTCTTTAAATACATAAATACATACATACATACATACATACATGCACACATAAATAAATAGCCCTGGTTGGTTTGGCTCAGCCGTTACAGCGTCAGCCTACAGATCAGAGAGTCCCGGGTTCGGTTCCCGCTAAGGGCACATACCTTGGTTGCAGTTTGTCCCCAGCCCTGGTTGGGGTTATGTGTGGGGCAACCAGTTGGTGTGTCTCTCTCATGTCAATGTTTCTCTCTCTCTCTTCCTCCCTCTCTCCCTCCTGCTGTATCTGAAGATAAATGCAAAAATGTCCTTGGGTGAGGATTAAAAATAAATAAATAAATAAATAAATAAATAAATAAATACAGTGAAGTAGAGTTGAGTGTTTTCTCTGGCTTGTGGAGAGGATTTCTGTAGCATAATATATCTAGAATGAGAAACACAGGGTGTAGAACGAAGGAACTATACTGATGTTATACTCTTTTTCCTCATACATAAACCAACATTGCTACCAATTTCCATTCTCCCAAAACATCACTAGTCCTAGACTAAGTGCCTTTCTAGCTGAGTTAAAGGAACCAGTTTTATACATACATCTAGGCTTTAGAGATTGAGTTTGTGTAGCCTGGTGCTAGCAAAAAGTCTATATGATTTGCAAACCACATCAGAAGAGTAAAGAATTTACAGAGTACACATGATGCCTCATATAACTATATTTTGGGGGCAAAATGTTCTGCCTCTCCAAGATTTCGAACACTGGTACTTACACACATTGTTGTGGGAGTTTGAAATAGTTTAACCACTTCAGAAAATTGCTTAGCAGTATCAACAAAAGCTAAACAAATGCACATCCTACAGGTCAACAGTTTCACTCCTAGGTATATACGCAACATAAATGTGTACACACATGCACCAAAAGACATGTACAAGTTCTTAGCAGCACTATTCATATTGAAGTAGATACCTTGTGGGGTAGGGAAGAGATACTAACTGAGAGGTAGGCTTCTGAAGAGTTGGTTATGTTCTGTTTCTTTATCTGGTAACAATAAGGGTGTGTTCACCTTGTGAAAATTCACTGTTGTATATACACTTATGACTTGTGCATTTTTATGTACACTTGTTATACTTAAAAACAAAGATTTTAGAAATGGTAAATCTGCATAATCTAAGGTTCTGATTTTTTTCTTTCTACCATTTATTTACCTGAATTCAATTTTCCTTCTCCCCATTAGTGTCCCCATTCCACCCCCAGACTTTTTCCTTTAATAATTCCCCTAGCTGTATTATTTGAAACATATATATTGTTCTGCCAAAAGGAAATGAGCTGGCATTTCTGCACACTTGCAATTTTTCCAACATTCTTAACTGGGCTAATTCCACAGTCATTATCTCCACTTCATGACTTAAGTCTACTCTGAAGAATCCCAAAAGTCTTTAGGGGGTAAATGCAATGGAACAGCCTCTTTCTCCACCTTCTTCTTTATCCACTAATTTGAGGGCTCTTCTGGTTCTCTGGGAATACCTCTAGCAGCTGAAACTCTCTTAAGTATATAATTCAATTGGTTAGTCTCACTTTCTTTTCTTCTTCTTTTTTTTTTATCCTCACCCGAGGACATTTTTCCATTTTTTGTTCAGGTAGAGTGGGAGGGAGAGAGAGAGAGAGAAACATCGATGTGAAGGGACACATCGAGTGGCTGCCACCCACACAACTGACCAGGGCCGGGGACAAACTGCAACCAAGGTACGCGCCCTTAGCGGGAACCGAACCCGGGTCTCTCAGGACCGCAGGACGACGCTCTAACCACTGAACCAAACCGGCCAGGGCTAGTCTCACTTTCTTATATCCCCAGAGCCGGCTCTCACTGTCTTCTAATCAATACCTTTGGAGATACTGAACATTTCTATTCAAGGTGTAAGGATAGGAATCTTTCCACTAAGACCATCAATTCTTTTTTTTTTTCATCCTCACCTGAGGATATTTTTGTATTTATCTTCAGATAGAGAGGAGGGATAGAAGGAGGAAGAGAGAGAGAGAAACATCGATGTGAGAGAGACACAGTGACTGGCTGCCACCCACACAACCCCAACAGGGGCCGGGGACAGACTGCAACTGAACCCAGGACTCCCTGGTCCACGGGCCGACGCTCTAACCAGTGAGCCAAACTGGCCAGAGCAGACCATCAATTCTAGATACTTGCTAGAAACAAAGTTATATACTAGGCTTCAAAGGCCAGCCTTATCCTGGCTTTCCTCAGAGAAACATAAAGGTTTTATATATTAGTAGCAGGTAGAATTTCTTTAAGAGGTGCTGCTGAAAAACCTTATGACTATGGGGCAGAAGCAAAATAATATTTCATTTCAGAAGAACAGTATCTGACAAGAAGCCAGTATCACCAAATCTATACTGTCCTTGGAAGCCTACCCACACATACCCCAACTTACGACTGACACAACTTGACAAGGTCCTGGTCAGTAGTGCCTGGTTGCAAACCCCGGATGTAAAGGTTGGTTTTGCTCAGCTGGTCATTTCCATTGCTCCCACTGCTGCTGCTAGGGATACTGTTGCTTGGACTAGGTGGTGCCATCTGCTGAGACAATGACACATATGGCTGCAAGGAGACATGAGGAACAGAAAATCAAAAGGCTTATACATTTAGATGTTAGAGAGTGAGGAAGATCCTGGCACCTTGGAAAGAATGAATGCAAACTTTAACAGCAATAAACTCGATAAGAGAGTTTATTTTTTAATTTTAAAAAATTTATCTTATTGTTGAATGTATTACAGACTTTCCTTTTTCCCCTATAGACCCCCTCCTCCCCTCTCTTGCCCCTCTCTTGCCTTTCCCCACACTGTTGTCTGTGTCCATTGGTTATGCATATCTGCATATAAGTTCTTTGGTTTATTTATTCTCACCTCCCCACCCCCCTTTCCTTTGAGGTTTGTCACTCTAACAACCAATTTGTACTTCTTTTCCCTTCATCTTTTTCACCCATTCCCCCAAACTCCCTCCCTTCTGGCAACCAACAAAATGTTCTCTGTATCTATGAGAATGTTTCTGTTCTGCTTGTTCATTTTGTTTGTAGATTCAATTGTCGATAGATATGTACTCATTGCCATTTTGTTTGTTCATATTTTTTATCTTCTTTTTCTTCAAGGAGACTCTTCAACATTTCATATAATACTGGTTTGGTGGTGATGAACTCCCTTAGTTTTTTTTTGTCTGGGAAACTCTTTATATGTCCATTGATTCTACATGATAGCTTTGCCAGATAGAATAATCTTGGTTGTAGGTTCTTGCTTTTCATCACTCTGAATATTTCTTGCCATTTCTTTCTGGCCTGAAAAGTTTCTTCTGAGAAATCAGCTGACAGTCTTATGGGAGCTCCCTTGTAGGTAACTAACTGCTTTTCTCTTGCTGCTTTTAAGATTCTATCTTTGTCTTGAAACTTTTGCATTTTGATGATGATGTGTCTTGGTGTGGGCCTCTTGGTGTTCATCTTGTTTGGGACTTTGTGTGTCCTGGACTTGTATGTCTGTTTCCTTCACCAAGTTAGGGAAGTTTTCTGTCATTATTACTTCATATAGGTTTTCAATTTCTTGTTCTCTCTCTTCTCCTTCTCCCACATCTATGATGCGAAGGTTGGCACACTTAAAGTTGTCCCAGAGGCTCCTTATACTATCCTTACTATTTTTAAATTTTTTCTTTTTGCTGTTCTGATTGGGTGTTCTTTGCTTCCTTATATTCCAAACCGATGGTTTGCTTCTTGGCTTGAATCTCTGTAAATTATTCTTTATTTCAGTTAGTGCCTCCTTCATTTCTGACAGATCCTTATTTATGCTCTTGAGGCCCTCAATAAGTTCACTGAAGTTCTCACTAAGTTTATTGAGCATCCTTATAAGCAGTGTTTTGAACTCTGCATCTGTTAGATTGCTTAGTGAGAACTACAATGAACTTAGTGAAGGCCTCAAGAGCATAAAAAAGGATCAGTCAGAAATGAAGGAGGCACTAACTGAAATAAAGATTACTTATCTCCATTTTGTTTAGTTCTTTTCCTGGAGTTTTATTCTGTTCTTTCATTTGGGACATGTTTCTTTGTCTCCTCATTTTGGCTGCCTCCCTGTGTTTGTTTCTATGTATTAGGTAAAGTTACTATGTCTCCTGGGATTCTTAGGGTGGCCTCTTACAGTAGGTGTCCTATAGGGTCCAGTGGCACAGCCTCCCTGATCACCCCAGCTGGGCCCTGGAGGTGCACCCCTCATGTGGACTTTACACCCTTTTGTTGTAATTGAATCTTGATTGTTGTTGGCACATCAATGAGAGGGTTTTACTCAGGCTGATCAGCTGCAAAGACTGGCTGTGCCCACTATCCACTGACCTCTGACTACCTTGGATGATCTGTGCAGGGGCCTACCACACAGAGCAAGACTTACTTCAGCAGGGCTCTGGTACCCACTGAGTCCATTCATTGAGGGTGTCACTTGTGGAGGTGGTTGGGTGGTGGTGCTTCGACATGGTCTGAAGCTGTCCACTGGGTGTGCTGGCTCTGGGGCAAGGTCAGCCTCTGCCTGTGTTCTACCCGGGGTCACCAGGCATAAGCTACAAAGTGGCCTGTAGATGGCTACTTTTGATGCTGAGCTTGGAGGTGTCCAGGAAAAGCCAAGTTGTGAACCAAGGCTGACTGCTTCTAGTGCCAGGCCTAGGACCAATTAACGAGAGGTATGGATCTAGCTGAGACCAGATGCTGCTTGTTTGAGAGATTTTAGAAAAATCTGAAGCAGGATCTAAGCAACTGGGAATCGCTTGGGTGGGCCTGAAAGTTGTGAGGCAGGGCCTCAGGGAATCACCAGGGCGGGCAAATAGTGTGAGCCAGGTTGCTGGAGTCCCAGATATGGCAGCTGTCTGCGGGCCTCGTGGGGGAAAGGCTCACCAAAGGAACAAAGGCCTCCAACAGCAAGTCTGTCCAGAATAAAGCTGCCTCTCCAGCCCTTGCCCCAATGCCAAACAACTCAGTTCTTCCTCATATGTCTCTGGTGCCTTTTGAGCTGCCTCCCCTCTACAATGGAGCTCAGAGGGAATGAGTCCGAGTAAGTCCATGTGTGGGCCCTTTAAGAACTGCCTGGGGTTTCAGCAGCCTCAGCCTCCCTCAGTCTCAGTTCCTGCTGGTTTTTACAGCCAGAAGTTATAGGGACTTCTCTTCCTGGCACTAGAACCCTGAGCTGGCAGCCTGGTGTGGGAGGGGGGCCCCTCACTCCTCAGGGAGGACCTTCCCAGCTGAGGTATCAGGTATCACAGCCTGATTTTTATCTGCCACACGTGGATGTGGGACCAGCCCGTCTGTGCCTCCTCCCCTCTTACCAGTTTCAATGTGACCTCTTGTATAATTTTGTAGTTGTAGGACTTTCATCCAGCTTGATTTCAGGCGGTTTTGAATGATGGTTGTTCTGTAGTTTAGTTGTAATTTTGATGTGGTTGTGGGAGGAGGCAATACCATGTTTACCTATGCCGCCATCTTGACCAGAAGTCCTCGATAGGAGAGTTTAAAAATACAAAAAGCTACCCCGGCTGGTGTGGCTCAGTGGATTGAATGTCAGTTCCCATGAACTGAGAGGTCCCAGTTGGATTCCCAGTCAGGGCACATGCCTTAGGTTGCGGGCTTGATTCCCAATAGGCAGTGTACAGGAAGGAGCCAATCGAAGTGTCTCTCACATTGCTGTCTCTCTCTCTCTCCCTTCCTCTCTCTAAAAAATCAATAAGAGCATTAAAAAAACCCAAAAAAAACCAAAAGGAATTCCTGTCTGCCATAAAATAAATAAATACATAATTGTCCTACCTATCTTTCAGGAATAATAAGAGGCCAAAATAAGCTTGTTTTTTAAAAAGGTACTTTGTTATAGTGGAATGTTTTTATCACACAGATGCTAGAGAACACAATGTATGCCTCTTAAGTAAATTGTGTCATGAGACAAGACTAATAAAACCTAGGTTCCATGCAAAAATGATGAAGACAAAAAAATAAAAATGTATCAAATCATGAAGGTATAAATAAGTTGAACATGGAGTATTTATAAACCTGTAGAATATGAGAACTGTACAATACATACAAGAGCTTGAAAATTATTGTAGCCCGGCCGGTGTGGCTTGGTGGTTGAGTGTTGACCCATGTACCAAGAGGTTGCTGGTTCAATTCCTGGTCAGGGCACATGACCATGTTGTGGGCCAAATCCCCAGTGGACATGCAGGAGGAGGCCAATTGATGTTCTCTCTCATCAATGTTTCTATCTCTCCTTCCCTCTCCCTTCCTCTCTCTCTAAAAATCAATAAAAAAAAAATTATTGTAAACTTAGACAAATAAAATTAAATACTAATTACCATGTCAGTTAGTTAAAAAGGAAAAAGTTAATAATGGTATCAGGGGTTTAGTTGATAATAAGTTATTTATAAGTTTTAAAAGTTTAAATAAATGAAAAATAGCCCTGGCCACTTTGGCTCAGCAGTTGAGCATCGGCCTGCAGACTAAAGAGTCCTGGGTTTGGTTGCCGCTAGGGGCACGTACCACAAAAAAATAAATAAATAAAGCTAATCAATCAACAATATTTAAAAAAATAAAAATAAAAATAAAAAAATAAGTAAATAATAGATATATTATTGTCAAGAAATCCAAGATGGGGATGAAACACCTCTAATTTTTCACTACTGATACCAAGACAGGCAACCAGATTCTGCTAAACATTTTTAGGTACTTCTATTAGAGACAAAAATACCAGGCTGCCTGAAACATGAGTCCATTCCTTCATGGCATATTTTTTTTCTTTACTGATTTTAGAGAGGAAGGGAGAGGGAGAGAGAGAGAGAGAGATAAACATCGATTAGCCACTGGGGATCGGGCCCACAACCTGGGCATGTGCTCTGACCAGGAATCGAACCAGCAACCTCTTGGTGCATGGGCCAATGCTCAACCACTGAGCCACACCAGCCAGGCTCATGGCATATTTTATATCCTGATGCTCCAGTGTTTACATTTGGTTCATAATACTCTAAATTTGCATAATTACCTATAATGTTGTGCATTTTACTATATCACACTAATATTCCAGTTCTTTCTTGGCTTAAAGCACTCGATAGTATAAATCTATTTGAAATTACTTTAAAATGCTAGTTTCATCTCTAGGTTTCTCTCTCATTTTCATGGTGGTGGTTGTAAGGAACTGGATTAGTAACAGAAGAAAAGAGAACCATAAATATGAAAGAAGGAAATCTTCCCCCCAAAGAATCTTAATTAATGTAAAATGTGCCTTGCCTGGCCGGTGTGGCTTAGTGGTTGAGCAACGACCCATGCACTAAGGGGTTACGGGTTCGATTCCTGGTCAAGGCACATGTCCAGGTTGTGGGCCAAATCCCCAGTGGGGGGGCATGCAGGAAGTAAGTAGCCTATTGATGTTCTCTCTCACTGATGTTTCTATCTCTCTCTCTAAAATTAATAAAGAAAAAATTAAAAAGTAAAATGTGCCTTTTATATTTCATGACTCTGACCTTTAGCAAACTTCAAAATAGAAATCTTTACTAGGGCTAAAATATGTTAAAGCAGGTATTTCCCTATCTTTATCAGT